GTTTTGAGACTCCCATGCTGCGACTCTTCAAAGAAGATGCAAAGAGGAGAAAAACTATTGCCCCCTTAAATACCCTTTCTCATAATTGGAGTCACCTGTGTATGGAGGTCAAGGGTCACTGAACTTAACAAACCAAATTTGAGTTCCTGTAATTAGTTCTAAATGTTTTGAAATCAATAAATGACAACGGTGCCCAAATTTATGCACCTGCCTAATTGTGTTTAACCAGTTATTGCACACTTTCTGTAAATCATATCAACTTCATTTCACTTCTCAAATATCATTGTGTTTGTCCCCTATATGATATATTTTACTGATTTTTTTATCCAAACAATCAATGATTTTTAAAGGTAAATCAGGAAAATTAACAAGGCTGCCCAAACTTTTGCACCCCCACTGTACAGCTGCTCCCACAGTGTCCTTGAGCTGAGACTCGAACCAGGCCGTGTGGTCCTGTACGGTGTCACTGGAATCTAATTTGGCTCACTAAGAAGAATTACATTTGTTCAGCGTTCCTCACTTGATTAATTAGACAAGCAGGATTAGCTGTTTAATATTAATATTGGAGCGTTTCCATCAGCAGCGACAGCAGCTCCCCGCCACCTTCTGCCTGCGCATCAGATAAGCGTTTGTCGATGTAAACATTCAATCAAGTCTCCTGATGAAAAGGCCAAGGCGAGTCAAGGTCACAGAGTTTCTGCTCTCCCCAGGTCTGCCCAGCATCCACGACGGAATATCCACCCAGGGCTGGTTTATCGGCCTGATGTGTGCCATCGCTCTTCTCACCCTCATTGTCTTGATCGCCTGCTTTGTCAACAGAAATAAAGGAGGGAAATATTCTGGTAGGTACTCACAAACACACACATCATCAGCTTGTTTGAATACTAATTGCCAACTAAAGCATCATTTTAATTCAGTTCTGTTGTTAATGTGAAAGAGAAGATCAGCTATTCCAAAAGCTATTATCAGAGTATGTAAGGCTTGTTTTTTTTTTTTTTCCCTGGGACCACAAAGCTGTTTTAAATCAAATTTTGACAAAAAGGAAGCAGCTGTGTTGCTTGGAAAATTAGCATTTCTGCTGGATATTCTACATTTGGATTTTGAACGTTGGGAAGGACTTTTTTTTTTTTTTACAGTTGAAGCAAAGTGCAGGCCACAGCAAGACAAAAAAAAAATGCAAATCCTGCACGAGGTGGCTCTAAAAAGGAATGATGACATAAGCTCTGTGGTATCTCAGTGTTTGTTGTTCCTCGTATAGTGGAAGGGAGAGTCCTTATCGGCTTTATTATTCACAGCTAATGGCCATCAGGTTGTCGTCGCTTCACTAGTCAGCAGGAAAAAAACGAGCGAGACACAGCTTTGTGTGTCCTCATTAAGCACTCATTATCAGTTCCAACAACCTTTTCTGTCTGTTCTTTTAGGCCCCGTCTGCACAGAAACGTTTTTTTTCTGCGAATATTTAAAAGTTTTATTTATTTAGTTATTTATTTATTTATTTTATTTTATTTTATTTTATTTTATTGCTTCAGCCATCTGTCCACACAGAAACAAGGAGTCCTTGAACAGTACTTTTTAAAACTGGGTTCCAAAATGAAAACATTTTTGGAATTCCACCCATGTAATTTTGTGTGGCGGCACAGTGGATCCGTGGATAGAGCTGATGCCTCTCAGTAAGAAGATCACCAGATCAAATCCCAGCCCGGGGACCTTTCTGGGTAGAGTTTGCATGTTCTCGCCATGCATGCATGGGTTTTCTCCAGGTACTCCGGCTTCCTCCMACAAACCAAAAATATGACTRTTAGATTAATTGGTAACTCTAAATTGTTCCTAGATGTGACAGACTGAATGGTTGGTTGTCTCTATGTGAGGCCTGTATTATTCTGTCTCGCTTTAATAAGCAGACAAAACTGAGAGAAGAGCAGCAAGGCCCTACATAGAGTGAAGCAAAAAGCTCCTATTATTTACACCAAGTAATCTAAGGCCAGCAAGGTATTTATTTTTTTACTGAACTGTCAACAACCAGTGGGGTGGTCTCACAGAAGGTAGAGATGGCAAGCACATCAAAACTTTGGTATCCAGTGTGAAAACAACTAGATAACTAGACACRGGTTTTTACGATGTAAAAACAAGTGTGCATTGCCATGTAGCATGTCATTGCAGCATGGCTTTGCCTGCAGCATTGGACTTGCAGAATGAAYTTTGACCAAGTTCAAATGTGTTTTCTAAACCAGCTTGTGCCTCTCATGTCAGCAGGTGTTTGTAATTAAGGTAATTGAGTGAAAATATGAAGTTTGAAGAGATTTTTTGTTAAAGTTGCTTTWGCTGGGTTTTGAAACCTGATCTCCTGCATGAAAGCCCATTGCAAAGACCATTAGACTGTTGGAGCTGTGGCAGGGTGTGGTGCCAGGGGTTGGTTTGTATGTGTGCAGAAAGAGGCCACATTGCCAATGCAATTATTGACACTAAACTGCATAGTATTACAACAATAGAGCAATATTAAGATAATGGTATAGTAAAACATCAAAATACAATCATATTAGTATTGTAAACACTGAACTATTGAGATTAAATATAAAAAAACTATGGTGCATTACCAAGTTGAGTACAGCTGGGGGCAGTATTGGACCATTACAAGGCCCCATTGACTTCCATTTTATGAATTTAGAATAAAGTTTCAACATTAATATTTCAAAACTACAAGTTGTACAGGTACCAAAAGGCATAGAAATCATTTGGCACAGGACCTTTACAGATAGAAATTACAATGGCAGCTGTAGGACAAAGTATGCWGGAGCATTGGACTTTCAGAATGAACTTTGACCAAGTTCAAATGTGTTTTCTATACCAGCTTGTGCTTGTCACATAAGCAGGTGTTTGTAATTAAGGTAATTGTGTGACATTATGAAGTTTGAAGAGATTTTTGTTAAAGTTGCAGTAGCTGGATTTGAACCCTGATCTCCCACATGAGAGCCCACAGTGCTCATCATGAGACTATAGGAGATGTGGCAGAGCACAATCCCAGGGATTGGATTGTATGTTTACAGAAAATGTCACCTTGCCAATGCAATTATTGACACACAGTAAGTGCAATATAGTAAAGCAATAGGACAACATAAAGACAGTATTACAGTAAAACATCAAAATACAATCATTAATATTGTAATCACTGAACTACTGAGTTTAAATATTATGAAACTATGGTGCAGTACCATATTGTGTAGATGCAGCAGGGGGCAGTATTGGACCAATACAAGGCTCCATTGACTGCCATTATAATTTATTAAACATTAATATTTCAAAAACTATAAGTTTTACAGGCACCAAAAGGCATAGCCATCATTTGGCACAGGGGCTTTACAGATATAAATTACAATGGCAGCTCTAGGACAAAGTATGCAGGAGGAGAAGCATGGCAAAGTTGAGATGACTTGGATGGGAAACGAATCACAATAGTGTGCATTGCATTGGCAATGCACACTGATTAATGTTTGCATAAGGAGAACAGACAGCAATGAACTTTCAACAATATTAAAGCAAACAATGCAGTATAAAGACAAAAATACATATCAAGTGTACATTAAAAAAGATCATATTCTAGAAGTTTTAAAGACCAATATTTGTGTATAAAAGATTTACCCCCAATAAGCTGATATTCTTTCAACATTGTCGAGGAAATGTTTCCCTCCAGCTGTCCAGCTGATGGACAAAAGGGGTAGGAAGAAGTATAACTTATTTAATCCTACCCCTATTCACCATTTCATCTGGTTTTCAGAGTCTTATCAGTTTGTGATGAAAAACAAAACAAAACAAAAAAATACACATGCAAAATAATACATAAGGTAATCCAATATTATTCTAATACTAAATTTCAAGTTATATATATTCACATTCAGAGACAATCCCATCCAACTACACACAAATACACACATTTACACTCAGATACCCAGCACCTCTCCATGCACCCATCATCCTACACTCCAACAACAAAACCACCCCAGTCCAGTCTCCCCCACCACTACCACCACCCAGCACCCCTTAAATGCCTGTAAGGGCTATATAATGTGAACCCATACATTTATAAAAATCAGAACACAACACAGAGGGACCAAGTTTACCTCAGACTATCATTCCTATACTTGTCAAAAATCATTAGTCTTAGCATTTTCTTAAACAAACTCATGTTTGGACCTTGCTTCAGTTCTTGTTTGAAGAACTGAAGCAATCTGTCGTTTATAGACAATCTGACTTGATGTGTGAGTTTTATGTGCATGTTCTAGGTCTCGTTTCCTGTTTTTGGAGTATTGTCTTGGCAGAGTTATTGCACCACATTTTGGGTTGTTTCCATGGGGTGCCAAGTGTAAAATGAAATGTTAAAAAATTTCACCAGCATAGTTGTCATTATATAGTTCACTTTTTGAGTTTAAAACATTTTTCACTTAAATTTATTGTTATTTACCTCACTGTTCTTACATTTACCTAGTTTTTACTAAATGGTAAATGTTAAAAATATATATTTAAATATTAAATCCTAAACCTAAATATTTAAACCTAAATGTTAAAGTTAAACCTTAAATGACAAAGATAAATGTTAAAGTTCACATTTGGGTATTTTGGAATGGAACGCAGCCTTTTCTGTTGGTGCTCAGCTCATGTTATGACATCATCATCCTGAGGCAATAGCAACCGTTTGCGCTCCAATACAGCTAAAGCTTCCCTAAAAGACTGGACCACAGGTACCAACCATATTAATTTTTATGAACACATTTTGAATTTAGTGTTTAAATATTATTTTTAGCAGTGTTAGAAGCATTAGCAGAAATTAGCATCAGATAACCAGGATGATGTCAAACAAACATAAGACAAACATCAACAATGGCCGCTGCTAACAAGGCTAAAGATAATATTTAAAATCGAACTTCAAAATGTGTTCATACAAACAATATGGCTGGTCCCTGTAGTCCAGCAGTTTGAAGTGCAGCTCAGACACCAGCCATAACTGCAAGTTTGATGTCTTGTAGGGAAACTTTAGCTTCGTTGGCAATAATGACATCATAACATGAGCCAAGCACCAACAGCAAAGGCTGCGTTCCATTCCAAAATACCTAAATGAGAACTTTAATGTTTAAGGTTTAACTTTTACATTTATTTAAACATTTAGATTTAGGATTTAATATTTAAATTTATTTTTAACACTTAAATGTAACAGTAAACATTAGCTAAATGTAAGAACAGTGAGCTAAATAATAAATTGTTAGTGGAAAGTTTTTAACATAACAGTGAGCTAAATAATGAAAAATGTGTTAGTGGAATTTTTTAACGTTTCGTTTTCACTTGGCGCCCCGTAGTTTTCTGTGTTTCTGTGTGAATGGAAACATTTACAGAAATTATGTGTTTCCAAACATATTTTATGAAACAATTTACTTTTAAAACATTCTGAGTGGACAAGACCTGAGTTGAATAATTTTATTGTATGTATGCAGATTTGCACAATTTTGGTATATCTTAGATGAATACCAGCCATAATTGAGTTTTTTGTGTAAAGTTCTGAAATAAGAGAAGAGCTTTTTAAATGCTGCCAATGATATAGTYCAAGTGGAGGAAATGACTTAGAATTATTCAGAGCGCAGTAAGCGACACGCTCAACTACACTCCCAGTTATCTCTTGTGGAAATCACTGATCTCTTCTCTTCCATTTGTGAACAGTAAAAGAAAAAGAAGACCTCCATCCAGATGTGGAGTCCCAGGGCATGAATGATGACACGTTCTGTGAATACAGGTAAGCGTCGCCCCTCCAGAGAAAACACCGCCTCGCTGCAAGTGAGCGTATGGATTTCTCGTCCTCTTTTCCGTCTGCTCACAGTTATTCTCTCTGCGTTTTTCCTCTCACTGAAAAAAAAAAGACTTCCCAGAGTCCATGAGGTTCATGAGGAGCCTCACACCTCTTCTCCTGACAACATTTGATGGACTGAGTAATCGCAAAGTATGTGATGAACAGCGATAGCGAGCTGTTTGCACCTTGTCAAAGTAGTTGTTCTTAGACTTGGTGTTGTGTTGGTGTGTTGTTAAAGCAAAGTAGCTGAAATGAAGTCACAGCTCTGTTCAGCTGCCATTTTCTGTGTGGATGGAGCTGAAATCAGGCTGCCCAGCACCCGGCAGGAAGCTGAAAGCAATCAGTGTAATTGAATGCAGCTCTTCTCCGGGGCAGTAATATCAGGGCATGTTTCATTAATCCTGTAGTGGTCCTATTCATAACAGTCTACCACAGTTTGAGTCCCAGTCTAATTCTCCAATCAGTGGGATCTGCTCAGCTCAACAAATGCTGATGTGATGAAGTTAAAAGTGGCTCAGTATGACAGCATTTATTTTTTATCATCTTCACTTCAGGAGCCTGTTTCTTTCTTTTTTCTATTTTTGTTGAATTTTTTTCCACTACTGCCAAGTTTCAAATTTGTCATTTGCTACTATTGGTGCCAATTTTAAGAATACAGCAAATAAAACCTATGGCATCAAAACCTAAAGCAAGCCAGGCTAAACATTTTATGGTTCCACTGTGCTAATATGAATTATTTCAGAGTTTAATACAGTATATTATGTTAGGAATGTTTAAAACCACTGATAGTACATAGGTTGGTTTTTCACCTGAGATGGGTGGAGTACCAAAAACTGTTTTCAAATAAGTGTAGCACTAATTCATCATATTCTTGCTCAAGTAAAAGTTAAAAGTAGCCATCCAGAAAATGACTCAAGAGTAAAAAAGTATTTGGTAAAAAGGCTACTCAAGTACTGAGTAACTGATTGAGACATCAATCATTTAATATTTAAAAATTACATCATTAGACAGACCAAAATATAAAGCTATGTGGAAATGTAGGTATTTTTAAGATCAAAATGAAAATAATTCACATACATGACATAATTACAAAATAGCAAATTCAGGTAAAAGAAACATTTTTTCTAAATCAGTTTTTTTTTCAATATAAAATTAGTGAAACTAACAAAATAGGTATGTGTATTTGTTGCATTTTTAGTGAAAACAATCTTGTTCTTCATTCAGTGAAGT